CTGCTTGCGTCTTTAACTTTGTTTTTTAGTTTTCTTATTGCTCCTTCTCCTCCATACACAACCCCCCCCCCGTCGTCCCCATAGAGCCTGCTTGCTGCTGCAGCTGAGGGGGGCCCTTAGGGTATTATGAGCGCCGCGGGGGGGCCCAGGCCGCCTCCCAATATGCTGCAACATGCGTGTTATACCGGGAACTCAGGCTGAACCTCAGCAGCAGCAGCAGCAGCAGCAGCAGCAACAGCAACAGCAGCAACAGCAGCAGCAGCAGCAGCAACAGCAACAGCAGCAACAGCAGCAGCAGCAGCAGCAACAGCAACAGCAACACCTCAGAGCTAATAACAACCGCGATCCATCCGCTCTCCCGCTGCCAGAGGCTCATGCAAAGAACAAGACACCGCCGCAGCACCTGCAGCAGCAACTGCTGCAGCAGCTGCTGCTGCAGTTGACAGGAGACCAGCAGCAGCAGCAGCAGCAGACAGCAGCAGATCATAACGCGGTCCTTCATAATGCAGCTGTGGCGCAGCAGCAACAGCAGCTGCAACAACAGCAGCTGCAGCAACAGCAGCTGCAGCAGCAGCAACTGCAGCAACAACAGCTGCAGCAACAGCTGCAGCAACAGTTGCAGCAACAGTTGCAGCAGCTCCAACAGCAGCAACTGCAGCAGCAAAGACAGCAAGCACAGCTGCAACAGCCGCAGCAGCTGCTGCAGCAACAGCAGCAGCAGCAGCAGCAGCAGCAGCAGACTGTTGCCTTGCCCGCCGAAACCCTCATGCAGATACATCGACTCCTGGGGGTTTCTGTGCCGCAGGCTGCTGCTGGTCCCAATGCTCAGCAGCTGCAGCTGCAGCAGCAGCAGCAGCAGCAGCAGCAGCAGCGACAGGTAGCGGCAGTAGAAGAGCCGGCGCGGCGCCTGCCGGATGACGCAGCAGCAGCAGCAGCTGCTGCAGCAGCTGCAGCTGCTGCTGCTGCTGCTCCCCATTCCGTAGGTAGGACCCCGGCTAGCCAGGAACCTATCAAGCTGCTGCGGCAGCGCCTGCAGCAGCTGGAGCGGATGAAGCAGACAAGCGATCTGCAGCAGCAG